GCGGGAGCCTCCCCCCCTGTTTACAAACACAGCTGTTGCCGTATATTTGCAATGCTAAGGATAAAGCCACCAGCAGCGAGGAGCAAACGAGAGATGGTGCGGGAGAGGGGTCCTCGGCATCTGGAAAGGACAGGGCGCCTTGTTTTTGAAACTGTCAATTCTCTCAACCCCTATTGTGAGCGCTTCATGCAAAACATCTCGGGCCTTTTAAAGCGAGGGCTTGTGAGGCCGCCTCGGCGTGAAAGGGAGAGGGGGAGAGAGAGGGGCCTAGGGCACGGCAAATAATTATATCAGGGCAGTGAAAAAATGCAACGTGGAAGGCCTAAAACCGGTTGGCTGTCCCTTCCCGACAGGTTTTCGGGCAGGCCGCGGCGCTCACGGCCAGCAGCCCCGCGTCAGCCCAGAGCGGGTAGTCCGCGCTGTCTGTAATCCTGACTGTGGGACCTGGTACCGAGGGAATGGGTAATGTCTGCAAGCAAGGCTTTAGCAAGGTAGAACCCATTGCCTCCCTCCTCATTTTGCTACCCAGTGCTTTTCATTTTCAGGCGTTGGCCCTCCTTTTGTACTTCCAAGCTGGCCCAATAGGTCCTGGGATGAGCCATTACATATTATTTCCAACAATCCTCTTAACCATAAAAACCACAATTAACAACGTTATCCGTGTTTCATTTTCTCCAACATACTGCATATGCAGAATATTTTCCTGCAGATTACCGCTGTGTGTTGAAAATGCCACTTTTCTACCCCTCTCTGTCTCAACCTCTCGCATGTGTGAACAGGGACAAACACAAACAGGATAGCATTGCTGTCATTTCTCCAGTAACTTTAATTTATTGGTAACTAAATCTGTTAGAGGAAAAAGGCTCAGAGACCATGTGAAAAAAATCACCAAGCGAATTGATTGAACAGCAAACTTCATACAACAACAGCCACTATTTTGCTAGTAGTGGCATTTTAAATAAACAACCAGTAAAGAGATTATCCCACTGTAGTCAAGCAAATGTAGGTTCTCACCTACATTTCTTAAGGTAAATTGTTGTAAATGGCAGGTTACAGGTTACGTCTTTTAAGGCAAATGACCTCGTTGCTTGAAGGCATTACACGTGTTCCCTTTTTAATGCTCCAGAGAATTAAACGTAGTCCAAAACTTTATTTCGTCTTCCATCTGGCAGCAGAAATCTTCCCAATAAATTTACCGGTGAACTCTACTTGTGGCAAATACCTATGGAATGTAGTCCATAAAGCACACGAGCTTCCCTTGCTTGCTTTTTCCTCTAGAAAATTCTGTTGATTTTTGTGTACAGTGGGAATTGGAAAAATGGTGGCGATTCATGACTAATACATTTTAAGCTTTATCTCCTGTAAACATTGCAACAAAATGGTAACCTGGCTCACTTGAAAACCTTTGTTTTTCCTTTTTAATAGAACTTACCTTTATGGGAAAAAAAAATGATCACTTCTTTTACATAACTCAGTGATATGACTTTATATTATTAAGGCTGAAATGATAATCAACTCTGCTCATAATAATAATTACAGGGCCATCAGAAACTACCAGAATTGGAAGAAATACCTTTTATTTTTTAACTCTTTTTTTTTTTGATCCCCAGTGAGTTATTGTACCTGGCTGATTTCTCCAACGGTAGTCAAAACACAAGTGCCCCTGGTAGTGGCTTGCACTAAACTGAGGTGTCCACGTGTGAAAATGATTTGGCTATTTCACGTCTTGCCTTTGGATGTTGCCTGCCGGGAGGGGAGCCCAGCGGAGCAGCCTGCTGAGATGCCCAGTGGGTGCCAGGCCTGGGGCGCTCCCTGCCCGGGCCTGGAGCTCCAGGGCCACTGGCAGGGCTGGGCACCATATTTCACATCCTCAACTCTGCGGAGCCTATTTGGTATAAATTTATGCTTATTCCTCCCCCTCCCCCCCTCCCAGGATTGTTTCAGGAACCTGAAAAGGCACCTCTAGTTTACAATTCCTGGCCAAATCAGCATATCTCTAATTGGAAGTAAACAGGGTCAGGGGATGGAGTTACTTTGAAAGTGATACTTTGTTTAATTGACAAGGCGAATTTTTAGGTTTCAAGTTTGCTTATTGCACCTTCATAGCTTTTGGGTTTGGCTCTTTTTCTTTTTGGTCAAGGGAAGACCTTTGTCAGGCAGAGACGGCTTCCTCACAGAGCGGGGGGCTTTCCTGAGCGGTACGTTCTGTACGTATTTACAGTTCTCTGGAAATAAGGCTGTAATCTGTGCAGCTCTAAACATGCGAATGTAAACATTCATCTCAGAACAACTTCAGTAAGCAGATTTTTCATGACCATCGTAATTTCAGCAGAGCGGTTAAGTATGCAATGCACCTTTAGCAATTGGCAGTTTAAAGTGATGTGTGTGCGTGTGCATGCAGGGGGGAAGGGCAACTCCACTGAAAGGCAATTGTTTACTCTTTCTAAATATATTTGGCTGCAGGTATTCTTAGAGCAGGCCTTTTACAATGAGAGGAAAACTACGGTGTGGATCTAGTACACAGAGCTGAAATCAGTCAGTGACTGCTTGGAATATTTAGAGACACGAGGGGCTGGGAGAGGACATCACAAAAGGCAGGAATTAAAAAAAAAAAATGGAAACCCAGGCAGTGGATTGCTATCAGAAATGTTGACTTTGAGTCACACAGTAAACATTACATTGTTGCTTTGTTTTCTTTTTTTTTTTTTCCCTTGATTTACAATAAATTATTCTCCCGGGATTGATCGATGAGTGGAATCCTTAAAATTTAATTTGGGAATGATCTAGTATAAATAAAATGCTAATCCAAAGAAAGAAACCAGCAATTATTCATCCTAAACTCTGCTGATTCAGCAACTAAATTACAACTGTCTTTCTCAAGCTGCAAACTTTTCAGGCTGTTTTCAGAGTTGCTGTACCCGTCCTCCCCCCGCAAGACAGACCTTCCCCCATCCTCAGCTCTGCCTCCACCTCGGCCTCCAGCCTTTTTTTTTTTTTTTTTTTCTCCCTTCCCTTTCTTTTCGAGGGGTTGGGGGGGGAGGGAGGGAAACAGTTAACCTCTTGAAGCGTATTTCCTCCAAATAAAAACAGTGAACTTAGGAACGGAGAGGAAACCACGGATAACTCTGCAATAATTCAAAGTGTATGGAATCAGGATTTTTTTTTTAAACAGTGTTTTTAATTGAAAATAAAGCTAAAGCATGCTTTTCAACAGTGCAAATTTCCATAATTTTGATTTACTGCTTCCATCATCACAATATATTATACCAGCATGTCTTACCGAGGGCTAGACTCTAGAAGTCTGCCTGTTCGACTATTTCGATATTAAGTGCAAATATAGGTAATTGCCTCTGATTGTCACGTGCAGTAGAAATGTTTCTGCTACATAGAGAGGATGGCATGGCAAAACAAAACATAAAAAAATAAACCCACGACAACAAATTTCGAGAGATGAGGATAGAACCGGGAAGTGTAACACGGTTGAAACGCCTGAGTTTTGGTGCCAAAAAAGCTATGAATAACACCGTCTTCTCATTTTGTGTATTCTTTCCACTCTCGGCCTCTCGTTTCACTTTCTGTGTTGTATTTACTGCTTTGCTATTTCCTCCAGCCAGCGTGAGGGGCTGGACCATAAATTGTACTGCTGGCCGGGCAAATATTTTAGTTGCTTTCCAAGTTTGTAAGGGGCATGTTCAGACCACAACTTAAGTATGACATTAGTGGGTAACAGTAACCTTATTTAAGACCTCTGGGTGAAACAAAAAGACTTTCCAATTGCAAAGAGTGGCTGTACAAGTAAAAAGACACCCTTCTACCAAAAATAGAATTCCACATTTATTTACTGGTTTCAGATGAGGCAGCTTTTCCCAGCGCTGGGGTCGCAGGCGGACCCCAGCCTTTCCAAACCAGAGAAAAAGGAGTAAGTGCAACTGCTCTTCGAAAAAGACACCCCTGCACCCGAAAACAAAGCTCCCGAAAAGTAGGCTGCTGCCACATTGAATTACAGTGAACCCTTACTGTGCAACCATGTAACTTAACAAACTTTAACTGAATTAACAGTTAGACTTCCATTTTCGAAATCTAGTGCATAAATTTAATGGCTCATTCTAATATTTGTTATTCAACCTTTTGACATTTATTTGCAGCAGTTGAATTGAGGTACTGGTGCATTATTAGCATTTAAACAGTAAAGTGTTCCAGCTCTACCATACTTTAACTTGAGTTTAACTTGAGTCTTTAGCCTGAAGTACTCTGTGGAATGTAACCAAAAAAAAAAAAGACCAACCCAAAAAACAAACCACCAAAGGCAACGGAACCAACAAAATAAAAAAAAAAGAACCCAAAACAAACAAAAAAACCCACTGTTGTAATGGCAAAGAAAACAGTAATCCGGTTTCTGTCTTCACAATGTGATAAAACAGGATTCCAAAAGTGTGTATAGCAATTAATGGGCTTGTACAAACCATCCTGCAGAGTTTAAAAAACGTAAGAAAGTTAAAGGTGGTTCAAGAAAATATTTTCCGAACTATTTTATTAATTAAATTTCCTGAATTTGTGGCTAGGTGGAAGAGGTATTGCAGAACCGCCCAGCTGCCATTTCCATACAGGATGGGCCTTGTGAGGTGGTTGGGAATCCTTAGTGGTGTTTAAGGAATAAGCTGGCAACAAATCCCCATCATTGCCAATAATTAGTGATGGTGGACAGGGAAAATTTGCCATGAAATTAAATGGCCTTTTCACCGCTGATGCTACATTGCTGGCTACCCTTTTGCGTCTATTGTTAACTGTAAAATCATCCAGTGTTCCTTCATGTGTCTCGATTTTACCTGTAGGACGTGGGCTTCGAGCTGATTTCAAATTTGGTTTGACTGGAGGAGTCTGCAGTACAGGTCGCTTTCCCAAAACCAGTGTCCTGTAATTTTTTCTCACCCTCGCTCCAAATTTATACTCCCCATCCTCAGGTTTTGGAGTACCTAAAGTGCATGAGAGGACCTGACTCTGAGTCAGCGGGTTTAAGGAAGTGGTTTCTTTCTCAGTGCATGCAGAATCTTCCTTGGCTGTTAATAAAGCGTCCTGGGTATCACTCTCAGTCACACCGTAAAACTCATCCTTAGTATCATTGCACTCACACTTTAGCTTATGTGTTGTAAGGTCAGGCTCATACTCGTCGTTCGCACTGGTGTCCTCTATTTTGATTTTAATGCTGTGCAGGAATGGCAATGCCTTATTGCCTGTATCAGTGCACTGGAGCTCAGCTGCTGCTGCTGCCCCTGGAGAAGCAGCATCCTCCTCAGGATCAGTTTGTAAAGAGGGCAAATCCGTGGCAAATTCAGTACAATGAGGGATTTTGGAATCTTTCTCTGAATTTGCTGCCGCTGATGAAGAATCATTATTTAAGAACCTAGCAGCTATTGTATTGTTATCTGCACGGTGTGTAGTAGTTGCTTGAAGGCATTTCCTTGCCTCTCTGAGTATTCTTTGTTGTGGAAATGCATTGTTTGTCTTTGGGCTAGGTGAAGAGGCCCCCTTTGCAACACAGTTAATTGTTAGGTCAGTACTCTTGGCATTATTGGAAAATTCAGAGTGTGGGAATGTGATCTCGGATACCCTATCGTCTCTTATCTCCGCGAAGCAGCTCCCCAGGCCGCCGGAGCAGCGCAGCGCC